TGTGCAACACAGGTTGGTGTGCAAGCAAAAGTAATGTCAAGAGTTACTTTTCGCTTCTGTATTCTACCTTTTTGTGGTCTTCTTAGGATGAATGTGATTTCTTCTCCCAAACACCCACTGAAACTGTTGGCATTGAGGAGACCAGAATTAGCTCCACTCTTGACTGTGGTTAGTTGCCACAGATTCACCAGCATTGGACAAAATCGTGTGCCGTATTAAATATCCTCTCAACTCTCGCAGACGACAAAGGGACCCCAACGTGCAGATGTAGCAATAGGCTCTGGTGTTTCTGCACGCGCACGTGTGCCTACTGCAGCTGATGAGAGCTTTGCTTGAATAGGGATCATTTGGCTCAAATGATCCTTGCGGGACAATTTTTATATAAATTCTAAGATCATTTTGGGCCGATTCGTCACAAAAGCGTTCCTTAGGATGAGGAATTTCATCTCCTTACACTTCTCTAAAGGACTGAGACCAGCTGTACTCATTTCCTCTAAATTTCTCTGTGAAGTTTTTAATCTTTAAAATCATTTAGGAGTCTTCTCAAACTGAGACTCTGCCTTTAAGGGCCACTTAACGTGGCTGATTTATAAGCCCTTTGGACAAGAGATGCAGTGCAGTGAAAAGACAAAGCCTACAAACCACGCCAGAGGTTCCCCCTGCCAGCGGGCGCTGATGCTGCGTACGGCTCTAGACAGCCAAGGCAAAATGTGCCTTAGGAAGCCTGAACTCAAGCATCAGAATAAGTTGAAAGAATTACAGGTTATTATTATTAGTCCAGCTTTGGACTCCAACTTTTCCAGCTCCCCTGCCGTAAGATGGTGCAGAGTCGTGGCTCCAGCCTGGGGACTGAAGCCAGGGACAGGCTGTTGCCCTGCTGCTGGCACAGAGAGTGGCTGCTCCGGCATTGCTGGCTCTGGGGATCCTGCTCCATGCCCTCAGCATCACCTGAGCTAGAGAAGGGAACACACAGGCTCACTTGTGCATCTTCCCTCTCCCGCTCGTACCTCCACTGCTAAAATGATAAAGGGCTTTGCTGTAGACCCTCATCCTTTGCGTAACAAGAATATGTCTAAGTCTGGGGGGAGCGTTCTGTTTTTGCAGTCCTCCGTCCTCAGAGGAGGAAGCTAAACAGTTACAAAAGGCCAAATTCTGCCAAATTTACGCAGGGACAATCCCACAAGGTCACTGAAGCGTGGGAATTGCTAGAACCCATAGGACAAGTGTCAGCAGGTCTGTGACGAGGTATCTCAGCAAATTGAGTGCCCTGTAAACGTTGTGCCTTGCTTGTACTAACCTTTGTTTGGTCTGTCTCTCTCATCTGGCAACTCCCCTCCTCCCCGATCCCTTTGCGCTTTGATACAGATGGCTATAAGGAACGACTCTTTGGATAGCAAGGAGAATCTCCACACCGAGGTGAGTGGACTCTGTGACCCAAATGTCCCCACGGTGTCCAAGGAGGAGTCATCAATGGCTCTGACGCCCTCAGAAGTGCAAGAGTTGGCTGCGTGGAGCCAGGCAAGTGTTCACACGCAGCAGCATTCCCACAACCAGTATAATATTTCAAAGCAGGCACCAGCATCGTGTGCTTGTGCAGACTCATATCAGGAGACACCTGGAGGTTCAATGGACCAAGAAGTATCTGAAATAAGCAGCTCCTCGGAGCCTTTCACTTCAGAAACTTGTACAGCCTCGAGTGCCTGTTCAGAGGTTCAGCCTCTCACTCCTAAGAGGAACATAGGCAATACTGGCAACGTGACATTGAAGGACCTGAAGAAATACCACAGTGTAGACACCCAGGGTCTTCTAAAAAAACCGCCCTCTTGGTTAGATGATCAAAGGAGACACTCAATAGAAATTTGTTCAATGGAAAACAGCCCTCAGCACCATTCCACATCTAGCTCTTCTGGCTTCATAAGTCAGGTGGTAAGTGAAATGGAAGGCTTGCAAGGAACGCGGCAGAAGAAAAAACTGAGCCCTCCGTGTATATCTATAGATCCACCCGATGGACAGAGTTTGCTACCTAGAGGACCTCACAGCATCTCACCTGCCAGTGGAGACGTTTGCTTGAGACGGCGTGCTCCATCTTGTGAGTCCAAGGATTCGATGGATATAGGGGATTCGTTGCTTCCAGACAGTATGTCAACATCTCCTACCCCAAAGAAAGACTTGTTGACACTTCCTAGCTTTTCCTTTGATCAAACGGAAATGGACCCCTGAGTTACTTTTCTGTTGGTGCCAAACGTTTTCTTCCTTTCATGTAACAGAAAAAAAACAAACTAAAAAACTCTGTATTCCAAAACGGCACTGGGTAAAAAAAATTTCCAAAGAAAGATTAAAGAACCAGCTGGTTAAAAGAGTGGTTAACCTATATCACGCTTACTTAAGCATATGTTCTGCTTAGGTAAAAGCAATACAATGTGCAGAATCTATATGTATATTATATTTTATTAAATTAATTGAATCTAGTATTGCGGGATGTAGTACATTTTGTGACTAAAGACTCGTTTAATTTTCTTCTATTTTATGTATCTCAGAATATTTCTGAGATAAAGTTGGTTTTTATGAATATTTTAACCTAAAAAATATATATATATTTAATCCCTTCTCTTTTTTTTTGTTTTGTTTTGTTTGGGTTTCATTTTGTTTTGCAAAGCACAAAATGTAGCCAATTAGTGCATTACAGAGGAAATGTATCCCACAGTCAGCAGTAAATAAGGATTATTTAATGTAATTTATTTTTCCCCTTGGACTTCAATAATATCCTGGAAAAAAGATTGTTTGGGTAGTATAGAAATGCAGTGGCGGGTTTTTTTTTTACAAAATACTATTCCAATCTTGCATAAAATCGACATCCAGAATGAAGGCAGGTGCACAGACCCAGGAAGGTCCAACATGCTGACAGATGTCTGAAGGTGGTGAGCGTAGAGCCGTGTGGCTGTACACGATACTGAATTACGAAAGGATATTGTGGGTCATCCACTGGTGACTCACGGAATCATGTCAAAGGATAATATTCATACATGCCTAGGAACCTGAGGCAGGAAAAGCCTAGGGTCACTTTGGAGATGTTTTCCCACAGGCTGTTTCTTTTGCTGAGTTTTGTGCGGCTGTGAGCCTGCCGTTTGCAGTGGAGCTCCCATCTCTGCACCCTTGCGGAAGGGCGTGCGGTGGGTGAGTTCAGTGCAGACATGACACAGCGCTGGGCTTAAGCAACGTTTAAAGTTCAGCTCTTGCTTAAACTGCCTTGAGGTTGATTGTATTTAAGTAATTCTTTAAAATTAAAATCGTACGCTTACATGTTCGACAGAATCAAGGCCTATTTTACAGAATACATGTGAGAAAGTCTGTAGGTACTGAAATGACTTGATTTGCAGTTTGGAAAGTCAGGGGTTTTGCTGTCATTGCTGGAGTTAATTTGCAAGACCCAGACTGTAATTTTATTTCCAATGTATCAAAAGCCTTAAGCAGCAATATCATGATACAAAGTCGATAAAAACAAAATTAATGCCCTTACTTTATAACATGTCCTTAATGCCAGTCCTCTCAGAAATGAACTGTTTACTTCTGTGCTCACGCCCTCTGCAAAAAAACAGTCTGTAAAACTGGACAGCACAGCCCAAAAATCACGAGAGGTCGGCCCGGTTCGACACCTCCCGCTCTTCACAAGACTGATGGAAACCAGACATTCACTTCACCCAACTTCCACGAAATCACGTTAAGACGTAGGCCAAATGAGGCTCTGCAGGCATGGCTGGAAGCGTGTGAATATCACAGGTTTAAAACTGCGTGGATGGATAAGGCTTTGCCGGATCTTTAAACCAGCGCCAGCAAGAGGAGGATTTGTGCTAATTCTGTCAGTCGGGAGTTTGTAACATTTTTGAGAACTACTGATCTTTTCAAATCACTCCAATGTGTTGATGTACAGCCTTTCAGCCATCCGGAGATTAGGCTGTCACGACTACAGGTGTCTGCATTAGCTTCAAGTGTACACACGAGAAGAAGATGCTGTTCATACCTAACAGCCCATGTGAGGTCTTAAGCTCCTTTAGTTTTCACTTGGGGACGTTTACTCCATAAACAATCCCTATTGATTTACACGTCCTGTAGGAATGTGAGGGCTTTCAGGGGGATGTCAGGCAATCAGTGTATTTGAAGCAGGAGTATTAACATTCTGTACTATTTACTGCAGTGAGATTAATTCTTGGCCAGGACGTTTTTTCCCTCTTCAACATGGGCCCGTACGGAAACAGCTCTTTGATATGCCAGGCCAAATCTGGAGTTAAGCCCGTTTAAAGCAATGATTTCAAACAAACCTTTCATCAGTTCTTCCCCTAGATCATATTTAAGGAAGTAATAAAATTACAGTGTATTAAGCCTGAGAAATATTCTTAATCCCTTTCTGGTTTTACACTCCTAATGAGCCTTAGCTTTCCCTTTCACATGTACTAAATAATTTGGGAAAATAGCTGGGCCACTAAAATTGCCGACCCTGGTTCCTTAATGATTAGGATTGTGTTTGTATAGCTGGAATGATACTACTCATACAGTTCCTTCCTTAAAAAAAAAAAACAACAAAAACCAAAAACAAAACATGGAACATTTTAGCTTGAAATCATGGCACAAAGCAGTGACGTGATGTTAATCCAAATGCTCAACTCCAAATGTAACAGAAAGCCTCAAGGCTCTTCTGTTTTCAAGACTTGGGGGTTTGCCCACTGACAAGGTTTGTGGAAGTAACAAAAAGTTTACATCATATGTGAGTATTCAGTGAAGACTAGCTAATAAAAAATACTCCATGATGACGCATTCAGGAAAAGAAATCCATGTAAAATAGGTTGTTTTCTAAACCAGATAAGTTTTTTCTAGACGCCCTTTTGAAAAACAAATACAAAGGTACTGCAGTGTGTGCAATAATCTTAAAATAATTTTAAATACCTTTTGGGGGGTTTTATAGAATTTGACTTTTTTTAAACAAAATGTACAAAATCCACAGGAATTCTGTAGAATGGTTATGTTGATAGAATTTTTTATATTTTTGTAGAAATCTATAGAGAAATTGTTAAAAGTCTGCGTAGCATCTTGGGAACAAAAGCAGCTCTTATCTACAAGTTTCTTTTCCTAAACCTGGAGCCAGACCTACTGTATCACAACACGTAGAGCCGCGTTTCAGAGCCTGCATCCAGGTCGCGTTTAGAAGTAAGCAGCTAAGCTCAAGTTCTATGATATTGCAGTGCTATTAACCTTTGAGAACTGTACCCATATAAAACATTTACCCCCAAAACTCAGCCCCTATCAACCATAAAAAGTAGTCGCATGGCTATCCAGTTCGTTCAAGCACACCAGCACTTTACTACTGTGGATTTACTGTATGCAGGTGGGAGGAGGGTATTCCGCTATTGCCAGTCTGACGCGTGGGGAACGAGAGATCGCAGACGTGTCTGGAAAAATGTAAATTCCATTCTTGCAGCCCCTTGCACATAGAACTGACTTTTCCTAGCTCGGTTGCAGGCCATTTATACTGTAGATATTTTGGAAGAGGGCAAAGAAAACACTGTTTTTGACTTCTGTAGATTGCACTCAGCACAAGGTATGTTCAAGATGAAAAAAAAAAAAGGAGAAAAAAAGAAAACAAAAGTGTTACCATTGTAAATTAGGCTTTGCCCCAGTCTCCCCTTTTCTGCCCCTTTGGCTATAATAACCCGTGTACACTATTACACAAGGTGACTAGAGTAGGCACAGTACCATTGCAATGTCCGTAACAACCTAGTATATATTATAGAACTTTGTATTTAATAGTTAATATATTGTTATACTGTATCAGGTATATGGGCCAAAACGAGGTCTTTTGGTCAGGGCAACAAAAGGTGGTATTCATGGGGAAAATTGGGTTAAAATGTTCCTTTTTAAAAAAAAGAAAAAAGACAAAAAATGAGTGTAAATCTTTACAAATGACAAAAACAAATGTGTCCTATTAAAAGCTTTTGAAGAGAAAACAACTGTGCACTTCCCTTTTTTGTCGTTGCTGATGATAATCTGTGTCATTCAGAGCGGTCAAATCTTCCAACATGTTTTAATTGTGAACAGCTGGAATAGGTGTTGTAGAGCAGTCGTGGACGGGAAGTTGAAAGAGAGATGGTGACATGTCGGCCCTTTGTGAAGTGACTGGGTTTGACACCCCAAGTGAATCTGGCCCAGCGCGTCGCCCAGGGTGTCCTGTTTTACCAAGGAGACCATCAGTTGTGCTTCTGCCATGGCACCACGCTGGCAAAGGACAGCTTGGTGAGCTCTTAACAATAAGAAAGGTGGCTGCTGGGACTGCAACGGAGAGAGCTGGAGCCCAAGGGGAGAAAGGAGTCAGGAGAAGGGGCGGATTTGTTCTGTCCATGAAAACACATCGCTGTGAAGAGGAAGATGCTGGGCTTTTCCATGTGTTCACAACTTCAGGATTTCCAGCCTGAAGTACACCAGCTTCTTCTCCATCCCTTCGACAGTCATTTAGCTCCTTGCAAAGGAGGAGTTGGCGGGGACGGTACCACCCTGGGAGCTGTGGACTGTGTGTTGCAGGGCCGTGGGGGCTTTGGCTCCAGATGCTGCTTAGGTACCACCGGAAACATTTGAACCTAAACTCTTCAGGGGTCTTTAGTGAATTAATTATTTAGCTCCTAATGTGAAGTCTCCTCTCCTCTGGGGAGCAGCCATCAGGCATTTGGGCACTCTGCAGCCCTGTTTCTCACTTTGGCTTGGATGACTTGATGATTGCTCTGCAGCAGGAGGGATCCTAAACTGACATCCAGAGTGGTTATGTTGTCTAGAGGGTGTTTTGATAAAGGCCCCCTCCTATTCATCTCTGAGTAGAAAGCAGCAGGAAGGAAGTCAGCCCTTAAACGGAGAGAAAATGTGGATCTGTGCAAAATCCCATACAAATCCATGCAGAGGTGAGCTCTGTAATGCAGCTGTGTTGTCCAGGCTGTGGGGCTAACCCCACCAGGCTGGAACCACTGAAGTGCCCTCCCACCCCTCAGAGGCTGGAGGATCCCCATGGTATTAAGGTAAGCCAGACTTGAGCCAAGAAAGCAGAACAGTTCACAGGTTCAAGCACTTCACACCTCTCTGCTCACAGGTGAGTTTAGCACTGGGGTAATTCCTTACACGAGATGGCAAATCCTTCCATTTCGAATGCTCGGGTTCAGAGGGACTTAGGAGGGAGGTTGTTTTTC